TTGCGCGTGAATGAATTTTGATTGTTTTAAATGATGATTTGGGTTGTGGACATTTTAAGGAGACACTGTTACTGATGAAATGTTGTTGTTAGAGTTGGTCTAATGTGTGTAAAATCCTTCAGTCGTCCAGGTAGTCCATGGCAAAAGGAGAAATTTGGTCAAAGTTTGTTCAAATTTTTGTAGAATTTTGCTAGAATTTTGGTCAAATTTTGGTCGAATTTTGGTAGAATTTGTTCGAATTTGGTCTTATATTTCGCAACTCATCCAAGCTGCAGTTGTGGTCAGACGCTGGTGGACACTGCTTTGTATCTGCCTGAAGGGAGGAGCTAACTACACTGAAACTGTAAACAAGTGTGTGTGTTAGATCCAGAGTAGTTTCATTGTAGTTAGCTCCTCCCTTCAGTCAGATTTAAAGAAGCATCCACCAGCGTCTGACCAGAACTGAAGAAGCAGCTTGGACGAGCTGATGAACGTATTTGACCAAATAAACTTTTGTCCAGTTGACAACTGAACTATTTTCTCCATCTTTAGTCCCATGACAGACGTTATTGTCAGCCTAAAAAGCTCCTCCTTCTGTACGGAAGCTGGGAGGGCTCATAACAAACGCAAACGCCGCAACACAACAAAAAGCCACAACGGAAGAGACCGCGGGACTCTATTTTCCGACGAACCAAGCAAAGTGTTAAAGGATCAAGCGGGAAGTGAAAGGGAAAAGTTGAAGAACAAGAATGTGACTGTTTTGTGGTCAGGATCGACGTCACTGTCTGACCGTCGCTTGGTCCGTCGGAAAGTAGAGTCACTTCTGCGGTCACTTCTGTTGTGGCTTTTTTTGGTTTGTTGTGGCATTTGCATTTGTGTTGGTGTTTGTATTGTGGCGTTTGTATTTGGGTTGTGGCGTTTGTGTTGTGGCTTTTGCATTTGTGTTGTGGCATTTGCGTTTGTGTTGTGGCGTTTGTGTTGTGGCTTTTGCATTTGTGTTGTGCATTTGTGTTGTGTTTGTGTGTTTGCATTTGTTTGTGTGGCATTTGTGTTGTGGTGTTTGGCTTTTGTGTTGTGGTTTGTTTGTGGCATTTGTTGTGGCTTTTGCATTTGTGTTGTGGCTTTTTGCATTTGTGTTGGGCTTTTGCATTTGTGTTGTGGCATTTGTGTGTGGCTTTTGCATTTGTGTTGTGGTGTTTGTGTTGTGGCTTTTGCATTTGTGTTGTGGCATTTGCGTTTGTGTTGTGGCATTTGCGTTTGTGTTGTGGTGTTTGCGTTTGTCGTGGTATCTGCGTTGCGGCGTTTGCGTTGCTGCATTTGCATTTGTGTTGTGGCGTTTGTATTTGTTGCAGCGTTTTGCATTAAAACAGAGTCCCGCGGTCACTTCCGTTGTGGCTTATTTTAGTTTGTCGTGGCGTTTGCATTTGTGTTGTCGTGTTTGTATTTGTTGCGGCGTTTGCGTTTGTTATGAGCTCTCACGGCTTCCGTACTTCTGCCTTATTTACTTTGAGTTTAAAGGAAATAAAACCTATTTTCAGTCTCTGCTCTGGCATCAGTTTTTATCCGCTACTTAAAGCATTAGGATTGAAATCGATATCGGAACTGTAAAAGCTGGATCGGTGCATCCCTGTCTGTTACCATCGCAAAATTTCTGTAAAACAAGGGCCACAGCTTGTCTTATTTACACTTTTATTATTTATTATAACACTTTTATTTAAGAAAAATTTGTTCCTTAAGTGTTAATTTTGTGCTTTTTGAATAGATTTTTGTTTAATGTTCTTCACAAACTACTACTCGACTTACGCAAAACTAAAATAAACATCCCGACAAACCGTGAAAACCTGCCTGTGCACTTTGACAGCGCAGGCCTCGGGAGCTGGCAGAGCCCCAGTCTGACATTCCTGGCCTGGCCCTTCTCACCCAACACCACGTCACTGTGTAAAAGGGGCCACAGCTGCCCCCTTCCATCAGCCCCGGTGGGTGTGCGCCCAGAGCCCAGCGCACTCGCTCCACACTGGGGCTAGACGCCGACGAGAAGCGGCTCAAAACACCAACAACGCCAACAACGCCAACAACGCCACGCTGCACCGGCAAATCTGCCCTTCTACATCAGTTAAAAACACTCACAATCCTGATTTGAGCTGTTGTGAGGAGTCGGTTGGACTAAACTTATTTATTTTCTGAGCATTTTCTTCACAAATTTCCACAGAGACTAACATTATTTTTCTATAAATAAGTAAATAACCTCGACAAACACTGCAAAAAACAAAATCTAGCCAAGTTAAGACGACGTGAATGAAGAACGTTTGGTCGTGATTTGAGTAAATTTCACTTGACAAGTAAAATTATCAAGACTTTTTGTAGTTAAAATATGAAAATACATCTTGCTGCACTTAAAATAAGTTGCTCTTATTCCATTGACAGATAATTTGAATTGTCAAGTTGAATCGACTCAAATAAAGTAAAATTCAAAGTTCTTAATATATCCTCCTGAGACCCGGCCTATTCATTTGTGTCCTTTACAGTGGACATTGAGTTAACAAGTCGATCTTTAAAGTGTTTTAAGACAGACTTTTAAAGGGGGGATTAGGTTCCTCTGCCTAAATAGGTCTGGGGGATTATTATGTCCAGGATAAAAAAAAAGTTTGTGGTTTGTGGCTGCACTATGAAAAAAAAAAAAATAAATAAATAAAAAGAAGAAACTACAAGGGAGTCTAAAAAAAATTTTTGAGGCGACTGTAGAAGCTTGAAATGTTGGCCATCAAAAAAGTTGTTTTTGTTCGGTTGTTAACTTCACATGGATTTAACTCCAAAATGTCTCCAGTGTCCATTACAGAGGACATGTTATAAAATTATAAATACAAATAAAATGAACAAAATGTCAATGCTAAGGTGTTCATTTACCTCCACATAGAGAGAAAATCACAAAAAAAAAAAATATATATATATATATTGCAATACACATTTTTACCATCCATTTTCTTCCGCTTATGGATGGATTTTTTCTTCGAGTCCCAGGAGGTTAAGTCATTTTAACTTACTTAGATGTTGTGTTTTTTCCAGTGCTTGTCATAAACTTTTGTATTGTGTTTCTTGTTTCAACATAAATTGTACATTAATCTAAAGTTATTTAATAGAAACACGTCTGTTCAAAACTGTAAAATCTGTTCAGTGGCATTTCATGTTAACAAGCAGCAAATTTTCATTTATAGCTCGCTCATTTATTTATTTATTTTTTTAACTTTCCTACACAACATGGGCTATGTTCAGACTGCAGGGCTTACCGCTCAATTCGGACTTTTTTGTTAAATCAAATTTTCTTTGCGAGGTTATCCACATTTCCAATTAAATGTGACTTGTATGTGATCTCCAGTGTGAACTTTAAATGCCCCAAAAGTGTCCCGCATGAGCATTAGAGGACACGACTGACGTCACACACAGCAAATGCATTCAGCAGGGGTGTAGTGGGCGTGGTACGCAGTGGTTCACTGTCCACCCACTTCTCCCAACGTAAGATATAAAAAAAATAACAAATATAAAATGGCTACAACTTAAATATTAAAGTGGAGCAACCGGCAATGGTGAAAACAAACTGCACAGGCTCATGAAGTGTGCACTACTGTCCTAAAGAGACATGAACCAGGACTGAACCAGGACTAAACCAAGACTAAACCAGGACTGAGTGTCGTTACGGGCCCAGAGGTGCGCCCGCGTAGACCGTCGGGTGACCGCAGGCGAAAGCACCGGCACAGACCTCTACGCCCACGGGGCTCAGCGCAGCTGCCGCTCGATCGTACTTTGCAGACACCCTGTTCTGCGGGCTCGGGGTTCTCTCTCTCACTCTAGTCCTGGTTTAGTCCTGGTTTAGTCCTCCTGGTTCAAGTCATGAATCAAATACCCCCACTTAAAAAATCCCCACTACACCACCGGGGCTCAGTGTTTACGGACGTCGCCTAAACATGGACGCAGCATTGAGCACCTGGAGATTTTAAAGTCGCTGTTGTACTGGAGCCAGAACATGAAGAGATTATTTGTTTTAAGGAGGAGATTGAGAATGAGAAGGACGAGGTTTTTGGCTGTGGAGTTTTGTGGGGCAGTGGCAGCGACGTCCGTAGAAAGGAACGTGTGGATGTGGAGTCGAGGTCTGCGCCTACGCCCGCAAAGAATTGTAATTTTCAGTTCTACTCCCATCCACAAGTCCTGCAAGATGTGGATGTTCGCTTTCTTAAGCTCTATCAAACATGGAGAAGGGGAAAGGAGTTGTCTAAAATGTGGGTAAATTTAGACCACGTCCGCAAATTTAAGCATCTTAAAATGATTTTACTAAAGCCAAATAAAATATCCAGCACAAATGATGTATGATAGGCTGACATTAATCATTTGTATACTTTACTTTACACTCATATTTAGTTTACGGGACTGCAGTTTATCTAGCGCAGAGTCGCAGAGTGGTACTGCGACACAGAGTTCAGACACAATTTTTGTCTGACGAGAAGAGCGTTTGTGAACATTTGTGAGCGTGTAGGTGGGATGAATGTGACCTGGCCGTTCAGACTGAAGCTGCATGTCAAAAGATCAGATATGTATCGGTTTCAGGAGCACATATCCAAGTGGCCTGGGTCGCATTTGAAAAAATTAGATCTTTGTCGTTCAGACTGTCATTAAAAGATCAGATACAGGTCACATCGGGGTGAAAAAATCTGATGTGCGTCACTTCAGGCTGCAGTCTGAACGTAGCCCATGAATTAACTTCGACCCAGCTTTCATACACACTGAAGTTTTCTGAGCACTCAAGCCTCTAAAGCAACAAAGTATGACTCAAAACATGCACGTAAACGAACAAATAACCTAACAGCGAACTCATGAAGTTTTATTCAGAACGAGTCCAAAAGGCTCAGAGACGCAGCGACGTTTTAACTGATGTAGATTTTCTCCAACCTGCGTTCGGAAAAAAACAAAAAACCCTGTCCCTGTTGCGAAAAGCAGCCGAACTGGTGAAGAAAAGCCAAACTGGACCGGGCACAAACTGGTTTTATTGTAGCATTTGTAGACATGAGCTGGACAGTACCGCTCGCACACGCACACACGCACACACACTCACACACACATATGTTATTATAGGCTCTGGGTGGGCAGTGCCAGTGCTGACCCTCACGTTCTCTCTCTCTCTCTCTTTTTCTCTCTCCTCCCGGGGCGTAGGAGCAGCCTGGGCAGTGTTCTAGTGGAGTGGCTCAGGGTCCACAGTCCTTTTGGGGAAGCGGGGGGTGGTGGTGGTGGTTGTGGTGGTGGTGGTCTCTGATCAGCTGTCTCTCTCTCTCTCTCTCTCTTCCTCAGTCCTAAGTGACTCTTCGCAGCCTTCTCCTTCACAGTCCTTCTACTTTCGCTCGGCCGTTGACACCAGTGGCTGCCGGCCGGGCCCCCCCACTCGTGTCCGGGGGCCCATCGGCAGCGCGGTAGCACACTCCTCCTCTGCGGGGGCACAGGGCGGACGTTACTCTCAGCGCAGACGGACACACGCAGATGATACAGACACTCGCACACGCGCTGCTGCTGCTCGACTCAGGACGGTGTGAGTGACCGTCTGCAGTCGGAGCTTCAGACGACAGCGCCGTACTAGTGTTCAGGGAAAATACGTTTGTTTTTGCTCACTCTTTGCTCATCTGAGACACTTAAAGGGCCCATCTCATGCAAAATAACTTTTCACGTTGTATCTTCTGCACATATACAAGCACAATTTGGGTTTTGGAACATCCATTACTCAATATGATGAGGAACCCCGAATCTCCCAATAGAGGCTTTGCACCGTCACGTGACCCCTGTACCTACGCCGCCATGACACCGGGCAACACTATGTCATTGACTTCAGCAACATCGGAGAAACATGGGCAGGTTTTGTTGTGTATTTGGTTGTTCTAGACCACAGGTGTCAAACATAAGGCCCGGGGGCCAGATCCGGCCCTCCAAGACCTTTAATGTGGCCCTTGGGTGATTTTCTACTAAAATATTTTAATTATATTTTTCTATTAAAATATTGGTAATTTTCTGCGGTGCTGAGCACAGCAGCGTCTCCAGGCGTCTCTGTACGTGGCCCCTCCCACCAGAGCAGCACAAATGAAGACTTGTCTCTTTCCAAACGCTCTTAAAGGACGATCGTTTTTGACTGTTGACCGTGACACCCTCATCAGAAAAATGTCCAACATGAGAAAAGTGGAGCCGAGTGCAGGATTTTACAACAAAAATTTACTTATTCCTGTTTACATACAAGTTAAGATAAGATAAGATAAGATAAGATAATCCTTTATTGTCTCCCATGGGAGAAATTTGTCTTGGAACAGGGGGAAACATGCTTTATCAAAAAAAACAGGACAACACAACACAATGTTTAAACATTGTGTTGAAATTGAATTTTTCTTAAAGTTTCAGGTTGTTCATAATATTATAATATTTATAATAAGAAAGAGTTCATCAATTAAAAAAGATTTTGTGTAATAGATTTGTGTTTCTCTGCTGCACAAATATTTGAACTTATTGTTATTTTTGGGGTTTACATGACATGAGTTTTCTGATCCGGCCCCTTTGGGATCAAAGTAGGTTGGATACGGCCCCCGGACCAAAATGAGTTTGACACCCCTGTTCTAGACGCTCTGAAAGGGATAAAATGATTCGTTTCTTCACTGTTCATCAGGAGCTCAAACAAGGGAATTATCAAAAAAAAGACGCGGATTATGGCAAGCAAAAATAAACAGCAAAGAGATTTCCTATGGTACCATAAAGACACCCGGAGTTTCATCAAGGTATTTGCTATTTAAATTGTTTCATAGTTTATTTAATGAAAGAAGTACATTTACTGAACTAAAATTTCATTAAATTATCCAGTAAAACCCGCACTAGTTTATGATTCAACGAACCCACACTGGGCTCCTGTGATCAACATGACGCACGAGTCGAAGAGTCTGTGAGCCGAACCTCGAAAGAATCGGCCATGAAAAGATCCTCGTGAACGTGAGAAAGATCCACTCACAAAAAGCGATTAATTCTAGAAGACATAGTTGTGGATAAGCAAAGCAATAAAGAAAACATGGGTCCTACGACGAGTGACATGTTTATATGTGCATTGGAAGATACAGTTTCTACTCCCTGGGGGATGGGGACAGGCGAGACAGGTGTGCACCCTGATAGTGGTAGGAATAAACTTTTATTCATCATGGAGATACAGCGCGTTCAGCCGCATGTGTTGGACCCGGAATCGGATGAGGACTTTGAGGAGCATGAAGCTCAAGCACCGCGTCCACATCAGCTGAACATTACTGATTGGTAAAGTATTAATAAACACTAGTAGATAAACTTATTATATCGTGTTCACTGCAGTGTAGAACAATGAGCTTCTGCTGTCGCTATTGTTTAGGTGTTCATGTGGGAATTGTCAGACGATGTGGGGCGGAGGAGGTGGAGGTGGTGGAGCAGGGGTCAAACACGTCATAGGTGTATCTGCCGCGTCATCAGTTTTAGTTTGTTGTCACGTGGGAGGGTGGCGGAAATACACTGCAATTTGTTTAAAAAAAAACACCGAATGAATCTAAAAACCACTTGGGCGACATATACAAGGCCCACACATCACTCCTAGAAGGTAGAAAGCTCTGAAAAGTTGATTTTGCATGAGATGGGCCCTTTAAAGCTCCTGTCCAGATTGTGAGCTGTAATGTGAGTAACACACATGTAGTAATTCCTAATGATACAGACATGTAACACACATGACACACAGAACAACACACATGTACCAGTCACACACAAGACCAGACGTGGGCATTGTACAGCCCCGGGGTCACACAGCCCCTTTAAGCTCAGTTGCAAACGCATGACTAAATCTGCATTGCTTTTATTTTAGAAGTGTTTTTTTTAAATAACATTTTTTGTAAGGCAGCCTCACTATGTCATAACATAAACTCTTACCAGTCTGAGCAGCTCGTCAAAACAATGATATTTACTGCTTTTTATAAAGAAATACAATTAAATTTTATGCAGAATTGGGTTAAACATTTTGGCTGTCAACAATATTTTCTGTTTCTCAAGTGGCCCCATGGTAAAAATAATTGCCCACGCTTGTACAACACACACACACACACACGATATCCACACACGAGACAGATTTATCAGAAATGTCCAGAATATTCTGTGTAATCATTGTAATCAATCATTTTAATCGTGTGAGAAGTAAAAGTCGTACCTGAGATCAGGTTTGGTCAGGTGAGGAAATGGACAAAAATGATTGCTAGACCAACATTGATGAGCATCACAAGAGCCACCAGGATGGAGTTAGGACCCTGAAAGAGAAACAAGTACAAATGTGAGAACACAAATTAATCCTCAAAGGGGATTAAAAAGAGAACTTCGTGTATGTAAAAGGTAAAGCAGAAGCAGACAGGTGTCACCTCGGACGGTCATAAAGTCATAAAGTCACAAGACAATCATAGTTTTACTGTGGAGGTCGAGTTTTATCACGGGCCAAACGTGTGAGCACAGTGAATATTAAATAACACTAAAGAGGCAGAGAAACAAGACTGAGGACATGAGATTAGTTGGAACCAAAGTCTTGAAAAAGTAGGGGTGGGGCATTATGATTTATAAAAACTAACTACACGTTGCGATTGGTGTCATCAATCAGATAAATGTTAAGTCTGACAAAGAGGAAGTGTGGGCGGGGAAAGGTGTCTGTGTTTGAGCTGCAGTCAAGATAAAATTAGTCAATCACAATATGACGATTTTTCCAGAAGTAGAAGATTGTCACAGGATGATATGAGCTCATGAATTCATTTTTATTATTCATATCGTATTGCCCTAGCCTGATTCGTCACAGGGTTTCACTTCCTGGAAACTGTCTGACCTTGCAGCATTACGATTTGTTCGCTATATTAAGCTTTTCCCAAATCCCGTAGGAAGAAGGGCAATAACGTCTTTCCTCATGATAAAATTCACCAAACATTCTCTTTGATCCGGCTTTAAATCCTCGATCTCGGGAATCATTGCCAACACAGAATATATGGCTCTTCGCTGATTGACTGGTGTCCGAACTCCGACCAGCCTGCCTAATTCTTCTCTAAAATATGTCTCCAAGTTATAAGTTCTCCAAAGTCGTCATGTTTTTAATCTAAGAGGAATAGATGTATAAATAACATGTTTAACTGTGGGCGACTGGTGTACAGTAAGCACTGCCGCTGGAACTAGGTTTAGTTTCTTGCAAGATCAAGATTTCCAAAGTCGTGCAACTGTAGTTTCACTGCAGTATAACTTTGATTAGGGCTGGGCAAATCTAGCCAGGCTGGTGCCACCTGGTGCCTAGATCAGGAATCAGAATACACTAGACGGTTTGCAAAAACCCCGGAAGTTGTAGACCACACACTAGCCAATCAGCAAAGAGCTGTGAAGCCATGACGTCAAACTCATCGTCAGCACAACAGTAAACAAAGCGTAGAGATGGATGTAGACGAAGACAGACATTCTGTGTTGGCAACGATTCCCGAGATCGAGAATTTAAAGCCGGAACAAAGAGAATGTTTGGTGAATTTTATCAAGCGGAAAGACTTTATTGTCCTTCTTCCTACGGGATTTGGCGCATTACATACGTCACGACCAAATAGCAGCGACTGGTTAAATAAAAAAGTACCTCCCTACTGTCGAGCAAATGAATCCTAATGCAGAGAGGTCACACAGTTTCCACAAATCAGGCTAGAGAAGAATAGACTACGGGAAAAATATGTGAAAAGTGTGGAAATGTGCAGTCTGGAGATGCTCGTCAAAGTGTATTATGAGAAAACAGCCTTCATTTTTTATTATACCACCATATATGGAAGTATCCCACAGTCACCAACCTCGGCGTCGCCTTAGACAGTGATTTTAAATTTGACAAACAGATCAACAGTGTTTTAAAATCAAGTTTTTTATCATTTGCTGCTTTTATCTAAAATTAAACCTTTTTTATCTTTCAAACTTTTGGAACAAAATATGCACGCTTTTATTTCATCACACCTGGACAACTGTAACGCACTTTATTCCGGCATTGCGGCACAAAACACTCTGCCCCTGCCGCCCCTTAAGAGACTAAACTTACCCAAAAACAAAGACATATTTAGCTTTTCAAGAGGGGCTATTTTACCTTGTTACCTTCTGAAAATGCTAGAATCACCAAAAACAGTATGGACATTTTTTGACACTGTTCCTTTGCTCCAAGTCACTTCCCCTCAGCGTGCGTCCCACTAATGAAACTACTGCACGTCGGATCAGGTTCGTCAAGCCGTTGTGTACAGTTTTAGATCCTGCCTTTGTATATTTATGGAGAATTGTCGCGTGGGCGGAGCCTCGTACAGAATCTTACAGCGAACCATAAGGAGCGTTTGAACTGGGCCCGGGAGAGATCGCAAAAATACTCAAACATGCGTGGATGACATCTAAAACCTCTTCAGGCATGTTTCTGATGAGGGACAGTTATATAACATGGAAGAAAGCTAAAAAAAATTATGATTCATAATACCCTCTCTCTGTCCCGTTGTTGGCAATTTCACAGGATTGTTGCGTCATAGATAAACCTCCTCATCTTAATTTCTCCTACACTGTTTTCAGACACATAAAGATTCACTTTAAGGTCAAATTCTGTTCATAATTATTATTCACGGGGGAAAAGGGCTTCATATTTTTACTTTGCTCAGTCCTGTTGATGACAGATGGGGGAGCTCTAATGACTAAATGCCAAATTAGAAACAGAGGTGTAGTGTAGAGAATGTGAAAAGCCTCATTTGCATCATATTTGTTCTTTATAACGTTTGCTTATTTGCAGGTCTTTACATCAGAGTCCTGCACGGGTCCATTGTTTGGAGACCCGCACCGGCGCAGTACATCGTCACACCCGACCGTTAACCCGTGATTATATCATAGTTAAACCCGTACCCGCCCGGACCCGTGATATCTCACACACAAATTTAAAGTATTCTAACTAAAACACTTTCCATGTGCCTCTCAACGAACGACGACGCTGAATGAGGTTTTTTCAAGGATAGAAATCTGAGCAAATAAATATTCGTGAACTCTCAAATGGGTTCAGTCGTACATAAAATGTGTGTATTTTATCCATCGGAATATGAATTGAAAAGTTACCACGTCAAGAATTACAATCACAAAATTAAATGAAACGGTCACACTTTCTTCAGTACGAATATGAATTCTCAGATGCAAATTTACTGTCAACAATACGTCATCACTTCACAGGCATATGGACTGAACCAAGACTGAACCAGGACTGAACCAGGACTAACCCAGGACTAACCCAGGACTGATCCCAGGACTGAATTTAGTCCTGGTTTAAGTCGTGGTTTAGTCATGGTGTAAACCTGGTGTAGTCATGGTTTAGTCCTGATTTAGACCTGGTTTAGTCCTGGTTTCATCCTGGTTTCGTCCTAGTTTCGTCTTGGTGTAGTCCTGGTGTAGTCCTGGACTAGTCCAAGTTTCGTTGAGGTTTCGTTGAGGTTTCGTTGAGGTTTCGTCATAGTTTCATCCTAGTTTCGTCCCAGTTTCGTCCCAGTTTCGTCCTGGTGTAGTCCTGATGTAGTCCTGGTGTAGTCCTAGTTTATTCCTGGTGTAGATCTGGTGTAGTCGTGGTTTTGTCCTGGTTTCATCCTGGTTTCATCCTAGTTTCATGCTAGTTTCGTCCTAGTTTCGTCCTGGTTTCGTCCTGGTTTCGTCCTAGTTTCGTCCTGGTTTCGTCCTAGTTTCATCCTAGTTTCGTCCTGGTTTCGTCCTGGTTTCGTCCTGGTTTCGTCCTAGTTTCGTCCTGGTTTCGTCCTGGTTTCGTCCTGGTTTCGTCCTAGTTTCGTCCTGGTTTCGTCCTGGTTTCGTCCTGGTTTCGTCCTGGTTTCGTCCTGGTTTCGTCCTAGTTTCGTCCTAGTTTTGTCCTGGTTTCGTCCTGGTTTTTGTTCTGGTTTAGTCCTGGTTTAGTCCTAGTTTCGTCCTGGTTTAGTCCTAGTTTAGTCCTAGTTTCGTCCTAGTTTCGTCCTAGTTTTGTCCTGGTTTCATCCTGGTTTCGTCCTGGTTTCATCCTGGATTTAGTCCTTGTTTAGTCTTTGTTTAGTCCGCTTCACATAATTTGAGACTGAAGAGGACCACGTCTAAACTCACCGTCTCCTCCTCCACCAGGTCCGCTACTATTTCCATACTGGCTTTCTTTGTCTCTGCCAGGCTCTTTGGCTTGGTGGACTCCTGCCGTTTGGGCTTGGGCTCTTGGGCGGGTTTCGGGACGTCTTTCGGAGGGGCGGGCGACGGGGTGCGGGGGGGTGGGGATTTTCCGGCCGCAGTTCCGAATGTTTTGCTGGGAGGGGGTAAGCGAGCCAGGCTGGAGGGGTGGAAGTCGTCCTCCAGACCCTCCAGCTCCTCGGGCGGGGGCATCTTGATGTCGGCCTTGACGTAGTAACTGTGGAACTGGGAGTGGATCTGTCCGTTGCTGGGGTTGGAGCTCGGGGCGGGGGGCAGGGGCTTGAGAGGCAGGGGCTCTCCTGACTTCACGTCCTGTTTTAGAGAGAGCTTGGATGCGGCTTTTGTGATTCCTGTCGCAAAGAAAAGACAATGTTGTAACGTCAATAACTGTACTCATTTTGTTTCCGTTATAAAGCTGCTCTAGATCACGAGTCTCCAACCTGTCGCTCGAAAGCTACACCACCCCTTTCCAAGTAGCTCGCCAAAGGATTTCAAAATTATATCATTGTACTGATAAATAACTTTTTTTTTTTGCGCATGTCACAGAGAAAAACAGTTAGTAGTAATATAATGTGACAAATTTTTTAATTCTCCAAACCTCCCTTCCCATTACCCTCCTTCACCGTAATATCCAATCTCCATTCTAAAAAATAAATAAATAAATAAATACAAATAATAATAATAATAATAATAATAATAATAATACAAATAATAATAAGAATAAAATAAGAATAAATAAATAAGTACTGAATACATAAATAATAAAATAATAATAATAATAATAATAATAATAATAATAATACAATGATGATAAATAAAAATTAAATTATAATAAAATAATAAAAAAATTAAGAATAAATAAATACAAATAATAATAATAATAATACAATTATGATACACAAAAATAAAATTATAATAAATAAAAAAATTAAGAATAAATAATAATAATAATACCGTGATAATAAATAATAATAATAATAATTATAATAATTAAAAAAATAATAATAAAATAATAAAAATTAAGAATAAATAAATAATAAGAACTGAATAAATAAATAAAAAAAATAAATAGGGAAAAGAGGGAAATAGGGAAATTTTTTTTTTTTTGAATAACAAACTTTTTTTTTAATTACATGCCTATTCCTATTGTACATGTATAATTCTGCTGTCCAACTTTTTGCACTAATAAATGGACAGTGGTTTATGTTTCATTGGCGTCTAACTGTACCCAAAAGCTCACCCTATTTCTTATCATCGTCTCAATAATAACAATAAATCATTTTACCTCTTCCATTTGCCCTTTTTTTTTGTGTTTAACAAATTTTAATTATACATTTTTAAGTCACGTCTCCATCTTCCTTTTACAAACTTACCTGTGGCCTTAGTTATTTTATGTGGTTGTATTTATCTATTTATACATTTTATTGAAATTTAAGGTCACAATCGTACTCAACAAGAATTCAAGCCCCTCTGGTCTGAAAAACACCTGTATGCGTACATTTTGATACAGTGCAGCTCTTCAGTATCATTATTTTTATACCATGTTAAATATTTGATCATAAATCTCCTGAAATGAATTTACACTTGTCACAAAATTTATGTTTACATATTTTACATGTTTTTGTGTTTTAGTTCTCAAGCCAAAGGTCTGATTAGAAAGCAGAATAAGCTCCTCACTTTGGGTTGCCAGATCCTAAAACCAGTTTGTAATAAATTCAAAAGTGTTTTTATTTCACCTGTTGTGATGGCCTCGGGGGTGGGAGCCTTGTTCTCCTTGCCAGTGGGCTTGGCGGGGGTGGGCGTGGTCTTCTTGGGAGGGGGCGGGGGCGGAGGCGTTGGCGGGGGCTGGGGGCAGGGGGCGGGCGGGGGGCTCTGGGAGGGCGAGACCTCAGGGGTGGTGCCTTTTCTGTAGAAGTGAGGACTTCCGGACGGAGACTTCTCCTTCTTCTCCTCCACCACCTCCTGCACCTCCAGAGGCTCGTTGTACTTCTGTCGGATGTAATCAGGACCTGGGTGTGGAGGAACATCGGACAGAACATTTGTTAAAGGAGATAAATCACTCTGATCTGTTGTATCTGACATTGTGTTTGAAGAAGTGAGTAACAACACAGTGAGCAGTGCAAACATAGACCGTATACATGAGTGGACAGACCTGACGCCAAATGAAAAGTTCATCAGGAGACACTTCCAGCTCCTTCTGACTCTGGCTCCAATCGACTTACATTAGGATCTTGTGGCTCCTCTCTCTGTAACTGCTGTGGCCTCGTCATTTTGGTCTTAAAATGTTCATATTAACCTTTGACACATGATCCTGAATTTTAAAAAATTATTTTTTTACAATTTTATTTCTACGTTTTGATATCAAATTACAAAGTATGTATACCAAAAATCATATTTGTGCAATTTCTTTTTCAAAAATAACCCCAAGGAAAATAAATAAATAAATAATAAATTAATAAAAAAAAAATAAAATTGAATAATAATAATAATAATAATAATAATAATAATAATAATAATATATTAATACAATATATTAATAATAATAGTAATACTAAAAATAAAAGCTAAAATTCAAAAAGTTAAATATTTTAACAATAACAGATGAAAAAAACAGCAGATAATCCAAAGACAGATAAAAAAATAAATACATAAATTAATAAATTAATACTACTACTACTACTACTACTACTACTACTACTACTACTACTACTAATAATAATAATAATAATAATAAAAAAAAAAAAAAAATAATAATATAATAATATATTAATAGTAAAAGCTAAAATTCAAAAAGTTAAATATTTTAACAATAATAACAAATGAGAAAGACAGAAAAATAAATAAATACATAAATTAATAAATTAATACTACTACTACTACTAGTACTACTACTACTAATAATAATAATATTAACAGTATATTAATAATATATTAACAATATATTCATAATAAAAGCTAAAATTAAAAAATATAAATATTTTAACAATAATAACATTTAAAAAAACAGCAGATAATCCAAAGACAGATAAATACACAGTGACAAATAAAAAAAAGACATAGACAATCAGATCCTGAGGTTTTTTTTTCGCTATTTTGTCCGTCAAAACCATGAGCATCGAGAGCCTCATTTGAGCGACGCTGAACACTGTGGGTGACGTCACACTCGCATTGTCCACTTTTATACAGTTTATGAGTGTGCCTGAGCACCTGAGCACCAATCATGGAGGATCACAATCCCGATGTTTACACTCACAGTACTCTAATTACACCTGTAGCTAGAACTCTTGCCTCACAGTAAGAAGGTTCTGGGTTTGACGTTTCTGTGCAGAGCGGCATTGCAGGATGAGCCAAATGCAGAGGACCAATTTCCCTACAGGACCAATAAAGGCATCGCTCACAAGATTTTTGTTATTTCATTTATGACTGTAAGAGAATTTCAGTTTAACATTGACACACAAAAGCTATATTTACACCATGATATTCCCTTGGCCCACCATCGGCATACCATTATCTAAATTGTGGCATATTGCTGTCTAACCGGTGTCTACTGGCCTTCATAGTCTCACCACTCGCTTTATAAACCTCCTCCTTTGGAAGCAGAGTCAAGGGGCTTGAACACTCTAAGATCATACTATATTCTCTTTTGAAATCACACTATGTTGACTTTTCACGTCCCCCGGGCCTGTATTATTGATGGCAAATAAACTTCTTCTGCGTAAGACGTCGAGTTGGTCTCCAGCCTTTTACTTCCACCCTTTCTTGGACAAACTGAAAACTTTGACAACAATGACTAGGCCACCGGTTAGGATTAATTTTACTGAACCCCCGATGATCCTCCTATGCCCTGATCCTGTTCTTTGAACCCGGATCCTCCATCCCTGACCTGACTGCACTGACCCCTCCCCTGTCCTGGATGGGGCTCCCTCTGGTCCTTGGTCTTAGGTGGGATCTGACCCTACAGATTTGAACTCCACATCCATATCTGCAAATCCTGGACGCATCTCCAACCCTTTCCTTTTCTGTTGGTTAAGGCTACGTCCACACAACAACACTCCTTGTTGGCTGAAAATAAAAGAGGCTAGTTCTAGGGCTGCAGCCTTCAGAGGACCGTGGCGATGACGGGGTCACAAACATCGTCGTTTTCCAAAAGCTGCGGTTTGCTCGTCCACACGACAACGCAACGCTGGCATCCTCAGATTTCTCCACTCTGGAACCTGCTCTCAAAAAACACCGTTCTCTCCCACCCAAAATGCTTTCTCCGTGTCGACGAAAGGCCAAAACAAATACAAACTTCACTGTTTTGACCAAAAAACGCTGTTGTGTGGAAAGGTCCTACATCAGCAATGACCTGAAGCCACGCACCATTCATAAATATATATACAAATGTAAACTTTTAGCATTTATGTTAAGATTTAGACTTCTCTTCTAGACTTAGCTGCACAGGAGGGACTATAAAGTGTTACAGAGTGTAAAGGCTGTGTGTGTGTGTGTGTGTGTGTGTGTGTGTGTGTGTGTGTGTGTGTGTGTGTGTGTGTGTGTGTGTGTGCAGAGAGGGGTGGGCTGAGGCTATGGGGTTACCAGGCTGGTGGAAGCTTGGAGCCAGCTCTCGGGCCACTGCGCGGGCGATGTCTGAGTCCTGATTGGCCGACTGCGCAGCCTGGTCTGCGGCGTCGGCTTTGGCTCGGGCGTGGGCCGTCCTGCAACACAAACATTCAGACTGTGTAAAGGGAGAAAATCAAACTGCAATTTTGATATCAGACATCTGAGACTAAACAGAAATATGAGAATGTGAATCACTTAAAAACACTAAACACACACACACGCAGATCCTCTGAACTATGAACAATGTTGAGAAGGTGACTTTTAAAATGTATTTCCCTACAGATTACAGATTACATACCCCAGAATGTAATTTGTAACAGAATCCATTAAATTACTTAAAGTGAGTAACGTAATCTGAATACTTTGGATTACTTGGTTTGCTGTAGAGAAACAAAGACCAGGAAATCGTAACGTAAGATGTTTTATCTGCTAAAAGAAAATAAAAAGCCCAGATTTACTCAACCATATTAAAAATATTATTGATAGAAGACGAGGAGACACGTCCACGCAGCAGGATTTAGTCCTGTTAAATCCTGTTTTAGTCCTGGTTTAGACGGTAAATGGTGACATTTTTCTACAGCGCTTTTCCACCTTCAAGGCACTCAAAGCGCTTTACAACAAGGAACCACTCACCCATTCACACACCAGTGTACGCAGACACTGTCTGCAAGGTGGGTTAAGTGTCTTGCCCAAGGACACAACAGCAGCATTTATCTGTGGGAGCTGGAATCACACCAGCCAACCTGTGGGTCAGTGGATCTGACCGCTCAACTTGTGATGTTTATGTCGAGAGCTGGATTCAAACCGCCAACCTTCAGATCAGTGGGCGAATGTTCTACCAACTGAGCTACTGCCGCCCCAGTTTTAGATCTAGTTTAGATCTAGTTTAGACCTGGTTTAGACCCAGTTTAGATCTACTTTAGACATGCTTTAGTCCTGGTTTAGTCCTGGTTTAGATGGGGGGGGAAATAGCCCAAAATGTGAAAACAGGAAAATACCTCTGTGTAATCCATTTATTTCAACAAAGTAACTGTAATCCAATCACCACTCACTGAAACAGTAACTGTAACTGAATACAGTTACTCATCATTTGTACTCTGATTACGTAACTCTGGTACATGTAATCTGTTACTCCCCAACACTGACTATGGAAAGCATTTCTGATGCTGTTGTTCTGCCTCCACCAGTAGGAAGACAGAGACAAACCCTGTTTAAATCAGCTGAACAAACACGTCACAGCAGCATCACGTGACCAGTCGAAACTGTCAGGTCTGAAAACAAACTCTTGGTCTGAAAAAAAAGAACCTAATAACCAAGGGCGTAGGTTTACATAAGGACGGTGGGGACATGTCACAGCCAATATTAGCCATTTTATTTTAATAGACAAAAATATAAATTTATTCTGATATTTTTCCAAATAGTATGAAGATATTTTCGCGCTCTTAAGCCTCTAACCCCCTCAAAAAACGACCGCGCGCCCCACAGAGCGGCCGATACACGAATGATCTCGGGTGTCCCAGCACGACTTCAGTAAACTACAAAGCTGCAAACACACACGGAGCAGACAGCGACCGCGCAGAGAAACACACCCACAGACACACTCATCACTCCACGCCGACGAGGAACGGAACGGAGGAACGAACCGAAAAAGCAACGAGTGCAATGTGCCGTTTCTAGACACGACTGAACAACTGAGTCACTGCGAACACGCCGACAATCCAGCGATCCCAGACAGCACCTCCCTACACGCCACAACTGAACAAAGCCCAGAGTCACCGTGAACGAACAAACAAACAAAACCACTCACCCATCACACTGTTGTGTTTCCTTTAAAGTCCGGAGTGGTTTATTTGTGAAAAAAGTTCGAAAATAGACCATTTAATGACAGTGCGCCTTATAATCCAGAGCGCCTAATAGCCCCGAAAATACGGTAATATAACACGTTTTAGTTTACAGTGGAGCCAGGAGCCTAAACTGGGGAAGCGGCAGGACAGGGCCGCACCTGAACATGTCGGCTTGAGCAGGCGAGAGTCAAGACGCCGCACCAAACTTTGAAAAACGTTTTGAAAGGAACTTACTTGGCTTCATCTTCAATTAAATAATGAGTTGCCGCGGAAAAAGAGCGATTATCACCACACAACGGAGCCCTACTCGTGCGCTGTGAGACCTCGACTCTAAAGACAATATTCCATGGAAAAATGTTTGGACATGACCTCGCAAATATCTCATCACCAACAAGCAAAGGGAAATCTGCTACAAACTTCTACATCGCTGTTATCCGCTAAAGAATCATCTTAGAAGAACAATGGACACAAACTGAAAAATAAAACCACCTCTGACTTATTTGGGACCTGCCCAGACTCTGCGTGTTTTTGAGTAATTCATTTTCAGTATATCGCACTCCTTGGACATGTTGAGACACTTTACGTTGCACACCACCACCAGTCACCCACACTGCCTCGTTTAACTCTTTCCCCCATGAAGACGACATTTGACGACCCCCTTGTTTCCTTAATGACGTGTTTTGACTCCTCCGCTGTTTCACTAAAGACGTGATTTGACGAGCATTAGAAATGGTTCCAGTTTTTCACATTTAAACAGAGGCTGCGATAGGTCGGGGCCACTACAACCCACACTAGACTGACCAATAGGATTCAAGGATACGTTTTCGCTGATTTTTTCAGAAGTAGTGACGATTGTAGCTTCAGGAAAACCACAACACCAAACACGAGCAATGGAAAAATCGCGGCGCACAGCTTTATAAATAATGAGGAGCGGGCGTATTTTATGGATAAGTTTAGAGAAAGTGACTTTTATAGATTTCAAAGTGATGATGAAGTTGATTATAAAGTAGAAAACAGCGATAGCGACGGACTTTCAGAGTGAAACTTACAAAGATGAGAATGCCGCTGATGGGTCTGTGTGGAGTCCGAACAAAATATCGGGACCTTTATTTTCGGATTATGGACCAAAATTGCCCCGAAATCTGGATGTTGCTCAGGCGAGTCCTTTGAAATATTTCAATCTTTTTTTTCAAGATGAGATGTACGACAGAATTGCTCTGCACACAAGAAAGTAGCTTCATTTTCAGTGAGCTGTTATAAACCTGTAAATGAGTTGAATCACATTCAAAAATCCATAAATGAAGAGTTCAGAGTCTAAGGTTTTCAGAGATACCAAATATGTCTGTGTTTCAATAAAGGTCATGAGTGTAAAAATCATTTATAATCACTGGTGAAAGTCTGTTTTCTTTTATGCAATTAGGCTCTGTGGGTCGCCCTAGTAATACATGTATGGGTTGTTCCTAGTAGACGAGTGAAGTGTCTTGCCCAAGAACGCAGCACAATAAGCCCTAAAGTCACTGCCGCCCCGCTGTGACATCTAGTATTCCCAGATTATGATCAGTTAATGTGTGATCTGTCCCAGGATGCACCCCGCTGTGTGACAGGGATCAGTGACACGACCTGCAGCCAAACTCCATAGTGCAGATGAAATGGATCTTCACAGGGAACTGTACACAGCCCCCCCCCCAACACTCTGCACCGTGTACGTGAAAATATACATGAGTTGTTGTCGATATAGTTCATTTTACTGACAAAAACGAAACGCAAATGGAAGAAGAAGCAGTAATGATGAGTAGAATGATGAGGCTGGAACAGAAACGCCGTGAAGAAGAAGGGCATGAGGAGACTCTATTTGCGTTTCTCTTGGTTTCAATTACATAAAAAGAACATCATTTAAAACTCACGACCCCCCCGCCTTCCACAACACAACCATTCACACATCCCCGAGACAGATCCGGTTAGAAATCTTAGTGCGGTGAACTAATAATATTAAAGAACAAGAACATACAGACTCAAAGATTGGGATGCGTCTAAACTCAAACTGTACAATCTGGAAGTATTTCTATTTATTCAAGCCAGACTACATACAAACTCATCTAAAGAACACGCCTTTGTGCATTTAAGAGACACTCCAAAAATCATCAGGACTTAAGACTTCAAACTTCATAATATCACAGTTGCTGTTTACACTTAAAGGTTGTATGGAGGATTTTTTTTGTTTCAAATTGTCAATGATAGATTATAGAGATGCAGTAGCCTTGTAATTATGATGACCAAAAAAAAGAGAATAAAAATTCATCAACTCTGGACGTGGTGGGGCTAAACATTTGCCAATAGATAACGACACTGCCTCGTTATCTGTGAGCTGACAGGCTGTCAATCAATCTCCCTACGTTTCTAGTGTAACTGACTTGCCTGCGCGCGCCGGTTACGTGGTTTACGTACGTCTGTCACGCAGTCCACAGACGCAAGACGCTGTTTACTCCACCAACGCAACGGTTCTTAGCGGCTTTTTTTGACCTATATCTTCCTCGCAGTTCGCACAAAGTTTGTTGCAATGGCGACAAGAATCCAGGAGCAGTTCGCCGCAAAAGAAAGTCCGTTTTTGAGGTCGCTGAAAGAAGAAGACAAGGGGAAAAGCAGCGAAGCCAAACTAAGGTGATTCTTGAAGATTCATTCCAGCGATGGCGCGACTGAAGCAGACGCAGGGTCTAAAGACTGACACACTGGTCAACAAATTACTCCTGGACAGGAAACTTCTGCTTATTATGAAAACGTACTTTATTTCCAAGAGCTAGACAAACGTTTTTCAGGACACGAATGTGATATCCTATGTCTGAAAACGTAATTTTCAAGGCAAAGAAAGAGTCCGCTTGCTGCTGCGTGTTGTAGCTAGTTCATTCGCACTGAATCTCTGAACAACCTTCTCTGCACCCCTTTCCTGCTCCTCTCCCCTCTCCCTGCTGCCCGTTCCGCTCTTCCCCCTGCTCCTCATTTCTCGTCCGCGCACGAAATGTCCGCGCACCCCCTCCCCCCGCTCCTCACTTCTCCGTCTTGCCTAACCAACACTGTAGTTAGTTGTTTACAAGTCATGTGCAGCACACCGGCTGTAAACAAACCTGTTTCTGGCGTAAGGAGGAGGCGGGGGAGGAGGCGTTTCTACGTAGGAGCTGTAGGGGAGGGGGGGGGGGTGGTTTCACGCATGCGCAACATTTGAAAAAGGACAAACAGTCGCTGGATTTCTCGTTCCT